TGAACCCAGGAGGTGGAGGTTGCGGTGAGCCGAGATCGCGCCATTGCACTCCAGCCTGGGTAACAAGAGCGAAACTCCGTCTCAAAAAAAAAAAGAAAAAGAAAAAAAGGAAACGAGTCCGGGCACAGTGTCTTACCCCTGTAACTCCAGCACTTTGGGAGGCCGAGGCAGGTGGATCGCCTGAGGTCAGGAGTTCGTGACCCGCCTGGCCAACGTGGTGAAACCCTGTCTCTACTAAAAATACAAAAATTAGCTGGGCATGGTGGCACGCGCCTGTAATCCCAGCTACTTGGGAGGCTGAGGAAGGAGAATCGCTTGAACCTGGGAGGTGGAGGTTGTAGTGAGCTGAGATCGCGCCATTGGACTCCAGCTAAGGCAACAAGAGCAAAACTCCATCTCAAAAAAAAAAAAAAAACGAGTGGCTGGGCACGGTGACTCACACCTGTAATCCCAGCACTTTGGGAGGCCGAGACAGGCGGATCCCTTGAGCTCAGGGGTTCAAGACTAGCCTGGCCAACGTGGCGGAAACACTTCTCTACTAAAAATGCAAACATTAGCTCAGTGTGGTGGCTCATGCCTATAGTCTCAGCTAGTCAGGAGGCAGGAGAATCGCTTGAACCCTGGAGGCGGAGGTTGCAGCAAGCCAAGATAGCGCCATTGCACTCCAGCCAGAGTGACAGAGCGAGACTTTGTCTCAAAAAAAAAAAAAAAAAAGAGAAAAAGAAACAGGAGCAAGTGGGGCAGCTCTTTCAAGGAACTGGTGACAGCAGGAGGCGATGGGCTGTCTGGTGAAGCCCCAGCCTGTGGCCCTGGGCCGTGTGGTAGTGTGGGTCTGTGTGCAGGTGTGTCTGCACGTACACCCCATTTGGTGAACACTCACGCCTGGGGTACAGTAACTGGTGCTGGCTCTGGGTGCTGATGAATATGCTGTGGACGTCTTTCTGAAGAGTCCCGCACTGTCGCTACTCACAGCCTCACCCTTCTGTCTTATGGGTGTCCTGTGGATGTTATGGGGCATCTGCCTGTGTCTTGGGGCGTCCTGGGCAGGGCTGGAGCAGCCCATGCAGCCAGAGGCCTTTGCACCTGGTTACCCATCCCAGTTCCTTCTGTAGGGTAAATTCCAGAGGTAGAATTTAAGATAGAGCTGCTTTAAATTTTATCCCTAGGCCAGACCGGCAGCTCAAGCCTTTAATTCCAACACTTTGGGAGGCCGGGGTGGGCAGATCCTCTGAGGTCAGGAGTTTGAGACTAGCCTGACCAATATGGCGAAACCCTGTCTCTAATAAAAATACAGAAATTAGCCAGGCGTGGTGGCGGTCACCTGTAATCCCAGCTACTCAGGAGGCTGAGGCAGGAGAATTGCTTGAACCCAGGGAGTGGAGGTTGCAGTGAGCTGAGATCATGCCACTGCACTCCAGTTTGGGCGACAGAGTGAGACTCCATCTCAGAAATAGATAAATAAATTTACTTATTTATTTCTATAAGTTCAGACCCAAGCTCTGTCCTGGAGGCTAGAGATTGCTGGCCACGGAGCAGGATGTGGATGGTGGGTGGTGGTGTCAGCCCCACAGTGAGGTGGGAGTGCCTGGTGGGCTCTGTGCTGGAGGCTGGTCCCCAGTAGGTCTTGTGCCTAGTGTCCCTGCACTGGCCTGGGATGCTTAGGGAGGCAGGGTGGTGGCCTCGGGAACTCCTGGTGTCAGCAGAGTGGGATAGGCGGGAAGCTGGTGTTTCTCCCTTCGTGTGTTTTGGAAGAAGTTCGAGCCAGGGACAGTGTGAGCGCCGTGCTTGGAAGGGGTGATCCGAGGCTGGGGACTGCAGGCCTGTAGCCTGCCCGGGGACAGAGCCTGCTTTGTGTATTTGGGGACCTCAGGTGATTTCCTTGGATGGAGACCACCACATATTTGAGATGTTGCAGCTCCACTGAATGGAAGTGACTGTGGCATGAAGCCCAGGCCTGAACAGTGTCCCAAGCAGCAGTAGCCTTGGGGATAACAGTGAGCCAAACGTGTTGGCCATGGAGGTGACTCACTTTTTCTTTTCCATTGCCCAGGCTGGAGTGCAGTGGTGGCATCTTGGCTCACTGCAACCTTCGCCTCCTGGGTTCAGCAGTTTTCCTGCCTCAGCCTCCCGAGTAGCTGGGATTACAGCTGCATGCCACGCTGCCGGACTAATTTTCTTTTTGAGTAGAGACAGGGTTTCACCATGTTGGCCAGGCTGGCCGCGAACTCCTGACCTCAGGTGATCCACCTGTCTTGGCCTCCCAAAGTGCTGGGATGACAGGTGTGAGCCACTGTGCCCAGCCAATGACTCGCTTTTTTTTGTAACCACATTAAAAAAATAAATAAAAACAGGTGTCATCAATTTTAGTAATATGTTTAATTAACACAGTACACCCAAAATATGCCTTCTTGGACGTGTAGCGAGTGAAGAGTGAGCCATCTCACGCTCTTGCTGGTGCAGAGCCTTGAAACCTTCGCGTACCGTGCGCTCGACTGTCTCGGTCTGGGCCGGCTCCTCGTGGACTGGCGGCTCCTCTGCTCTGCTTCTTGGGCTCTGCCACAGGGAGGGCGCCAGGAGATGGAGGCTGTGGGCTGCTGGCTCCCAGCTTCCCCATTTTCCCTGTAGCCTGAAGGTCCTGCCCAGCAGAGGGGTGTGAGCAGCCACACTGAGCCCTGGGGGACACTGTTCTCCACCTGCCTGGTGTGTGTGTGTCAGAGCCTGGGTTCTTTATGATGGGAGTGCACCTTCCGTGATAGGAGATGCGTGAGATGGAAATGAGGATTTCACTGCCTACAGGCCCCGGGGGTGCACAGCCCGCCTGGAGCTGCCCCGAGAGGGAATGGGAATACCTCTCTGACCAGCATCTTTGCTGGGGTCCAGGTCGTTATGCTAACGGGTTTCCTACGAGGAGATTCACTCAGTGGGTTTAGAGCCAGCAGGCATGAGGCCCAGGAGGTGGCGCTGAGACTCGGGGGTGGGGTGGGGGGGCGGCACTTGGCACGTCTGGGTGGTCCGCAAGGGGCAGGCAGGCGAGTCCTGTAGGTTGAATCCGAGTCCTGTAGGTTGAATCCCGAGTCCTGTAGGGACCTGTTGCCAGGGAGCAGTGGTGAAAGGCAGGGGTGTGGACGGACCGCGCTGAGGAGCGGGAAGAGAACTGGGACCGTTACGGGTGACTGAGCCCTGCCCTGGACCGATGCCGAGGGTGAGCCGTGGGAACTCATGGTGGCTCAGCCACTTCCATCCGAAGGCCATGAGGGAGCACTGTGGACTTTCTGTAAATGTCAGCTTCATGAGCTCTGCCATGGAGGGGATTTGCCCTCTCTCAGAGGTGCCCCAGGTGGGAGTGGCCCCCTGGCTAGATCTCCTACCAGGCTGCCAGCGCTCTGCTCCCATCCATGACTCAGTGCTCGGGTCTGGCTGAGTATGTCTTGGCTGGTTCTGAAAAGGCTGGGCGATTTCTGCAGCCCTCTGGGTGTGCTGGGCTGCAGGAAGGGGCAGCTGGTGAGGACATGGCCCTGCCAGGGAGCACCAGCCCATGGCCACACTCAGAGGGGGTCTGTGCGTGCAGCCTGGCCAGCTCAGAGCTCTTGGGCCCGGGCCCTGTCCCTGTCCATGCCGGTCCGGACCTGGCAGTAGAGTTTGGAAGGCTGGAGGCTGCCTTCCTCCGAGACACACTCAGGCTGGGCTGTCATGTGGTGGGTGGCGCCCTCCAAGGGCCTCCCCGGGCTGAGTGGCTCCTGGCTGCAGCCACAGCTCTGCTGGTTCTGTTCCTGGCCTGCGGCTGCCTGGGCCCTCTTCAGCACCTGTGTTTGCACCTAGCTTTGTCAGACCCAGACTAGACATGAACACGAGGCTCCAGACTCACTGCCTCGTCCCCAGCACACAGCTGCGCCCGGGTGGAGTGGGGCTCTGGGGGGCAGGGTTTGTACTGCGTAAAAAACATGCCCGCAAAGCCAACCGCAGAGGCGTGTCTGCCCTCCTGGCCACCCTGCTGGCTTCTGGCCCTGACCGAGTAAGGAGCTCTGCTGGCCAGAGGGTGGGTGAGACTGTGCCAGCCCCTCACTGTGAGCAGGCACCCTCGGAACCTCGTCACAGCACACCGTCTTGCGTTTCTGGCTTTGGAGCGTGGTGTCTGGTGGCTTGGCCTGGCCTGGGGTCCCCAGGAGGCCCTGGGTCTTGCCCTGGGACTTGCAGAGGCCTGCGTGGGGGAGGGGGTGTCTTCTCAGGCGCTGGAATTTCCCCCGGGCCCTGTCCTCCTGAGCACTGGGCCAGCGCAGAAAGTCTGGAACCGATTGCCGCAGCCCCTCCCCTCGGCCAGCCGCCACACAACGTGTTCACAAGCCGCTCCCTCAGATCCCGCACGAGGGAATCTGATCCGTCTGTCTGCCGCTCCCTTAGAGGAGCCGCACATCAAAGCCGGGCCGGCGTTTGATGTCACGCCGCTGTGCTCTGTCCCTGTTTGTGATTTGAGGTCCCCAAGCTGGCGCTCGGGGCGGGGAAGACTGCGAGTGGGACTCTGGCCACCACGCAGCCCAGGGTTCCCCAGCCATTGCTCGGCGGTTTCATGACCATCTCTGGGGCCCTGGCCGTCCATGTCATGTTGGAGAGCTGCGTCCCTGCACCCTCCCCGTCCCCATCCCTGGCCCTGGGGTCTGTGCTTCCCTGAGGCCTCTTGCAGCCTCTGCCCAGGCTCTTCTCTGGTGAATTTTGGGACCTTGTGTTTTCCTGAGTCCAGGGTCTCGGGCCGAGTCTCCAGCCGTTTGGAGGGAGGGCAAATCCAAGGCCCTCTGTTGGCTGCTCCGTGGGATGGGAGCTCAGCGCTGTGTCCCAGCCTGTGTGCAGAGGACACCTGCCGTGTGCGTGGTGTGCACGCGCTCCACAGGCAGGAGGCCGTCGGGGTTGAGGCTCCATTGTAGACAGCGAGCCCCCTGAGTCCCATGGCCCTGCCGGGCCTCTGCAGCCGGGTGAGGGTTGGGGCCTGGGTGAGGGAGGGATGCATGGACGTGAAAAATACAGGCCAGGAAACAAAAGAAAACATGTCAAACCCACGCACATGGCGAGAGTCCCCCTGCGGACGGCCGGGTCTGTTCTGGGTGTGGCACCTGCCGCTTTTCTGCTTGGTCCTTTCTCGTTTCACTAAGGCGAGTCCTGCTTATTCAAGCGGGTCCGCAGATCCCAGTGTTGGGAGCCCTGGTGAGTGCACCGCCGGCCCCTGCGGCTTGGAAACTCACAGGTGGGTTCAGGTGGAGGCTGAGCGCTCCTGCCCCTGGAGCCTTCTCTGCTTGGATGCGTGTGGCGATGCGCACGGATGCGGGCGGATGTGCACGGATGTGCGCGGCTGCGGGGTGGGGGAGCGATGCGAACGGATGTTGGTCGATGCGGCCGATGTGCGCGGATGCCGGCAGGTATCCACAGATGTGCCTGGATGTGCGCGGATGCGGGCGGATGTGCGCGGATGCGGGTGGGTGTGCCTGGATGTGCGCTGATGTGTGCAGATGCGTGCGGATGTGCCCGGATGCGGCTGGCTGTGCGTGGATGTGGGCGGACGCGGGCGGATGTGCGCGGATGTGCCTGGATATGCGCCAATGCGGGAGGACGTGCGCGTGCGCGGATGTACGCTGATGTGCGCAGATGCGGGCGGATGTGCCTGGAAGTGCGCTGATGTAGACGGATGTGCGCCTGCGCGGATGAGGGCGGATGTGCGCCAATGCGGGCGGATGTGAGCGGATTTGCGCGGGTGCCGGCGGACGGGCACGGGTCTGCGCAGCTGCGGGCGGATGTGCGCGGACGCGGGTGGATGTGCGCGGATGCGAGTGGATGTGCGCGGACGCGAGTGGATGTGCGCGGACGCGGGCGATGTGCGCGGACGCGAGTGGATGTGCGCGGACGCGGGCGATGTGCGCGAGCGCGGGCGTGGGCGTATGCGCGCGGATGTCCCTGGATGTGCATGCGTGCTTTGACCTGGACGCTGCAGGCTCTTTCTCCTCGGACCCCGCAGCCTGCGCCATCCCGGGGTGCTGCTGCAAGCTCTTTCCAGCCCAGCTCTTCATCTTCATGCTTCGTGTTCAGGTCATCAGCTCAGCTCGTGTGTCTTCTTGTCCCAGCTGAGCCCCTGCGAGCCACGCTGGCCGTAAGGCCTGGCAGGGCACCGGCGTGATGCAAGGCTGGCCCTGGCCGCCCCTTGGCCTGGGCTCTGGCCATCTGCCCCTCCTCTCAGATTCCCCTTCTTGGAGAGGGACTGATGGGGGGAATCTCCAAGTGAGGCCTGAGATGGGGTTTTGTTTTTGTCAATGGGGAGGATTTCACACTGTGAGTTGGAAACGTGGAGATGAAGCTCCCTCATGAGTTTTTCTTCTCTGGGGAGGACTTCACGATGGTGAGTTGGAAATGTGGAGACGAACCCTCTCATGCGCAGGTGCTACTTGCAGTTCACGTGCTCTGGGGCTGGGATGTGGGGATGTGTGCCTCTGTGACCCGGGCTGGTGTGCTGCGTTGGCATGCTCACCCCCGGACTGGTCCACCTGTGCCTCCTGGGGGGCAGGGCTCAGAAAGACCCTGGTGGCAGAGGCCAGCAGGGACTCACAATTTCGGTCTCCCAGGCCATGGGCAAGCGGGCATGAGTGGAGTGCAGTATCCCACCCTCCGTGCTTTGGCGACTCGTCGGCATTGAAGGGAGACAGCAGGCAGTGGAGATGGGGCGCCGCGTCTTAGAGGGCAGCTTTAGATGAAAGCCCAGACCTTGGGACCCCACCCTCAGGCGTCTAAAGTACAAGTGGCCAGGAGCCGAGTTCCTGAGCCAGTGCGGCTCATCCCTCCCATGTGGCCTCTGGGCCCTGCCTGGTGGCTCCACATCCTGCCAGTGGCCCTGAGACTGAGGTTGGGGGAGCCCCCAGGCCTTGCACCACAGGCCAGGCTCCCTGGGAGTTCCCCAGCCGTCACAGCTACCTCCTCCTGGTGGCTGTAGGGTTCAGTGGGGGCCTGGGCTGAGGGCTGTGGCCTGGGCCTGGGACGCTGTACTGGTTGGGGGCTGGGTGAGGGCCTCACACCTTCGCCCCCTGAACCTCCTGCCCTGGGGCCTCCGTGGGAGTGGCTGAGGCGCCCTAGGGTGCCCTGTGTGTATCTGACAGTTTCTTTCCTCTCCTCCCAGGGACTGCCTGCAGCAGCCTGGTGGGGCGACCCCAGTGTGCGTGTACACGAGGGATGAGGTAGGCCACCCAGTCCCCGCTCAGGCTGAGCCCACTTCCCAGCTGGAAAACCCGTTCTCCCACCGCTGTCTCCAGGGCAGTGGCGGGAGACCGGGGCTCTTGAAAGCACGACGTGTTTCATGGAAAAAGAGGGAGTGGCCGCCTGGGAGCCCCGGCCGCCCCGAAACCTCCCTCGCGCCCTGTTTGTTTTCTCAGCGTCTCTCAAAGCCCAAGAGTCACAAAAGTGGTTTCATTTAATAAATATTTGCTTTGCTCGGTGTTTTGATCATTTTCAAAACCGAACGTGGCGTGGCGCAAGCAAGGCCTGCCACGGCGGGGCCCTCCTCGGGCTCACCCCCGGCTTACAGGGGCCTTTTGTTTCCACTCTGGCCGAGCGCCCTTTGCTGGGGTTGGTGGGGCACTGTCCCAGAGGGGCCCTGGGGGACCCTGGCGTGGACAGGACACTCCCCCCATTTATCCCCAGTGAAGTTCCCTGGTCAGAGCTGTAAGGGGAGGGCTATGTCCTCCCTCAGAGGGGATGAGCCACGGGGCTCAGGCACTCCTGGCCCAGCACCGGCCTGAGGCTCCAGCCCCCGGGGACCCTTGCACCCTTCGGCTTCTGAGCTGGGGGCAGCTTCTCCACCCTCTCGTCACAGGGTCAGCGCTAGCGTGTGGGTCCCGGCCAGCCAGGCCCAAGCCTTGCCCACCCCGAGTCCAGCACTGGGAATGCCCTGAGAGCAAGAGACTTGAAGGAGGTTGGGGCAGGGTGCTGAGGCAGCCAGGCCGCTGTGACCTATGGGAGAGGTGGCGGTGGGGCAGGTGTCGCCCCGGCCAGGCACCAGAGCCCATGAAGCCGGGTACTGTGATTTTGGGGCCCACCCAGCTCAGAGGCTTTTGAGGGGTGGGTGCTGCTGGCCTGCCCCCTGCCCACCAGATGTTAGGAGCTCCCAGCAGTGACTGGGGCTGCAGAGGTCTGGCAGGCGTCACGGAACTGGGATGACCCCAGCCCAGGGGCCTGGCCGGCTCAGTCTCACAGACATAGATTCTCTTGCCCAGGCCTCCTCCCTGCCCCTGTGGATGAAGGCACGTTCTTGCCTCTCCCCCCACTGGCCCTGGGCTCTGGGCAGTGGGTCCTGGCTGCCGGGCATCCTCCTTGCAGCCCAGCTCTGCCAGCCCAGGCCTCAGTGAGCTTGGGTCCCAGCTGGGGAGACCAGGCTCAGGGAGACACGGTCCAGGCCTGGGCGGCAAGTCCTTTCCGGGCTACAGGCCAAACTCAAGCTGCTCCTCTCAGAGAGCATGGACCGGCAGGAGCCAGATGTGGGGGATGGGTAGGATGGGGATGGGTAGGATAGGGGCTGGAGGGGCCGTGAGGCCTGTGGTTCTGGTGATGCCGGTGCCTGGAGCTACAGCCGAAGGGCTTCCCTGGGCTCCAGGGTCCCTGTACGAGGCCCACCTGCCCTGTTGCTCCTCCCGCAGGTGACGGGTGAAGCCGCCCTGAGGGACACCACACTGCAGTCGCTGGGCCTCACTGGGGGCAGTGCCTCCATCAGGTAAGGGCAGTGTGCCGCTGGGGCCGGGAGTCTATTTAGCTAAGAAAAGGGATCTCAAAGAAAAGGAGAAAGGAAACTTGGAAAGTGGGGGAGACTGTGTGCTCAGGGCCATCACCATGGATGGGCGCCTGGTGGCCTGTGTCTGCTTGTGAGCCGGGGGGCTAGCACCTGGTGACCTCTGCCCTGCACTGCTGAGGGGGCTGGGCTGTCTAGTCTCACTCTACTTCCCCCAGAGTGTCGGTGGATCTTGGGGAGGGCACATAGGGCAGGAGAGGGTGCGCTGGGGGCCAGCAGGACCGCCATGAGACGCTTCCCTGGTCCTCCGGCCCCACTCAGGTTTGTCATGAAGCGCAGTGACCCCGGGGGCAAGACCCCAGGAAGCCTGGACTCATCAGCGTCGGCTGGCCAGGCAGCAGCCAGCCCCCCAGTCCCCTTGGAATCTGGGGAGCTCTGCCGAGGTTACCCGAGCCGTCAGGAGGACGTGGACACCATGGAGTCCAGCTGCGAGGCTTCGCAGGAGAAGCAGAGCATGAGGGCGCCCATGCCTGCCCCCTTCGTTCCATTCTCGGGCGGGGGACAGCGACTGGGGGGCCCCTCTGGGCCCATGAGGCCTCTGATTTCATCATCAGCCAAGTTGCTGAAGTCCGTCTGCAGCCCCGGAGGCCCCTCCAAGCCAAAGAAGTCCAAGCCTGGCCAGGATCCCCAGCAGGAGCCAGAGCCAGAGCCGGTAAAAGGGGCCCCGGGCCTTGGGACTTGGGGGTGTCCTTTCTGCTGACGAGGTGGCACCATGTGGCCTTGGCTGGTCAGCCTGGTGGCATGGCAGTGATGCAGGGCAAAGGAACCCAAAACTGGGACTCCGGCCAGGATGGTTCTGGTTTCGCCCAGGAAGGAAATCAGGGGTAAGTGGGTGGTGGAGTAGCTTTACTGAGCGGGTCTGCTCCGGGATGAGGCCATGTTCGCTGTATGATGAGGCGGCAACTGTGTCGGCTCCCCAATTTGGCACAGAGCAGGGCTGCCCGGGGCAGTGCATGGAGGGCAGCAGCTCAGGGCAGGGGTGTGGCCACATTTACATCCATTCTTAACTACATGCACCTTAAGGGGTGGGCGTTCAGTAATCTCTAGAATAGAGGAGGTAAATTCCAGGCTGTGGCCAGGGAAAGGGTAAGCGGCAGTGGTGCTGTTGGACCATTAGCCAGTCTTCAGTCTGGTCCGGGATCAGGTCTCATCTCCTACCTGAACAGGGTTGCTGGGCTGCTTCTCAGAGAAGTTTTTTTTTATAATTATTATTATTTTTTTCTGATTTTCAACCATCTTTACCAAGGCACTCGCTTTGTTATTTTTGAGATAGAGTTTCACTCTTGTTACCCAAGCTGGAGTGCAGTGGAGCAGTCTTGGCTCACTGCAACCTCCACCTCCAGGGTTCAAGCGATTTTCCTGCCTCAGCCCCCTGAGTATCTGGGATTGCAGGTGTGTGCCACCACGCCTGGCTAATTTTTGTATTTTTAGCAGAGATAGGGCTCTACCCTGTTGGTCAGGCGAGTCTCCAACTCGTGCCTTCACGTGATCCACCCGCCTTGGCCTTTCAAAGTGCTGGGATTACAGACGTGAGCCATTGCACCTGGCCTGAAAGTTACCTGTTGTGATACCGGTGTAGTATTATGCTGCCTGTTCCACTTTTGACTGGCTGACTCCTTGTCAGTTCTAGCGGTGTCTGGGTTTCTGTCGGGGTCTCTGCAAATCACTTTTCCTTTGTGCTGTCGGTGGTTTTCTTCCTGTGTTGCAGTGACCTGGCCTCTGGTGCTTGCTGGATAGTGGCAATTCAGTGGTCATTCTTTCTCGTGTGTCTTTTTTTATTTTTTTAAGACAGAGTCTTATTCTATCACCAGGCTGGAGTGCAGTGGTGCAATCTTGGCTCACTGCAACCTCCATCTCCCAGGTTCAAGCGATTCTCCTGCCTCAGCCTCCCAAGTAGCTGGGATTATAGGCATGTGCCATCATGCCCAGCTGATTTTTTTGTATTTTAGTAGAGACAGGGTTTCACCACGTTGGCCAGGATGGTCTCGATCTCCTGACATCGTGATCTGCCTGCCTGAGCCTCCCAAAGTGCTGGGATTATAGGCAAGAGCCAGCACACCAGGCACCCTTTATTTTCTTGATCTTAAGATGTATTACTGATCGTTTTTCTGTGAAGGATGATGTGTGATAAAAGCCTTTGTCAAGGTGAGAAAGTTACTGTTCCTAATTTTCTGACGTTTAAAAAAATCTGAGCAGGTGTTGAACTGTTTCCATGTTTCCGGCATCAGTGGAGATGCTCATATGCTTTATTTATTGGCTTGTGCGTCTGTGTTCATAAGTGAGGCCGACTTTTTTCACTGCTCTGTCTTCATTCTGCTTGGGAATCAGATTTCACCTAGCTCACAAGGGAGCTAGGCAGTGGCTGCTGTTTTCTGGGTTCTGGAAGTTCTCCGAAGGTATGGCCACTGCTCACTGCAGACTCCACCCACCACTGGGGCGCTGGGCCTTGGCGGGGAGCAACTGCGAGCAGGAGAGAGGTGCTGACCTGTGAGCATGCCTGTGTGGGGTTGTGGCTTGACCCTGTGCCTCACGCCTCAGGGTGACCACAGGTCCGTGGGCTTCCTGGCCCGTGGCTGACTTTCCTTCTGTCCCAGTCCTGACCTGCATGGGAGTCCTGCACCTGGGCAGACTTTCCCTCCATCCCCGTCCTGACCAGCATCGGAACCCTGCGCCTGGAATGACTTTCCCTCCATCTCCGTCCTGGTCCCGCATGGGACCCCCCTGTGCCTGGGCTGACTTTCCCTCTGTCCCCATCCTGGCCCCACATCGGAGCCCTGCACCTGGGCAGATTTTCCCTCCATCCCCATCCTGGCCCCGCATGGGACCCTTGCACCTGGGCTGCTTGAGCTTCCTCAGCTTCCTCACCTGTTTCCCAGCCCCTGTGTCCCCTGACTTCCTCACCTTCCTCACCTGTTTCCCAGCCCCTGTGTCCCCTGACTTCCTCAGCTTCCTCACCTGTTTACCAGCCCCTATGTCCCCTGAGGGCCAGGCTGCTGGCGTCAGCCTCCCAAAGTGCTGGGATTACAGGCGTGAGCCACTGTACTCGGCCTGTTTTTATTTTTTGAGACGGAGTCACTCTGTTGCCCAGGCTGGAGTACAGTGACATGACCTCGGCTCACTGACATCTCCACGTCCCGGGTTCAAGCGATTCTCCTGCTTCAGCTTCCTAATCAAGTAGCTGGGATTACAGGTATCCACCACCATGCCCGGCTAATTTTTGTATTTTTAGTAGGGCTGGACCAGAGCTGCCTGAGCTCCTGCTGACGTAGTCAGCCTGAAAGGCCCCCATGCCACCATCTCCTGCGGACATTTAGAATATTTGTGTCTGGGCCAGATGTGGTGGCTCACACCTGCAATCCCAGCACTTTGGGAGGCCGAGGTGGGCAGATCACCTGAGGTCAGGAGTTTGAGACCAGCCTAGTGAAATCCTGTCTCTACTAAAAATACAAAAGTTAGCTGGGAATGATGGTGGGCGCCTGTAGTTCCAGCTACTTGGGAGGCTGAGGCAGGAGAATCAGTTGAACCCGGGAGGTGGAGGTTGCAGTGAGCCAAGATTGCACCATTGCACTCCAGCCTGGGCGACAGAGTAAAACTCCATCTCAGAAAAAAACAAATAACTAGAGGTGGCCAGGAGTGCTCTGTGTACACAGCTCCGGCCTTGGCTGTGCCCTGGGCATTCAGGCACCGTGTCCCTGACCTCAGGTGAGGTCGGGAGTTCGCTTTGTCCTCCTCTGGCCGCTTCTCAGTGAAACACCCTCACCCCTCCCTCTTGTCTCCAGCCACACCTGGGAGGGCAGAGGCTGGCTGTCTGCACCATGTGGGGCGTGAGGACTCCCATCCAGCCTGGCGTCAGGGCCCAGCCCCTCTGTTTTTGGTACCCCGGGCTATCCTGGGACTGTCCCCACTTTTGAGTCGACAAAGGAGTGGGGAGTGAGGGCGTTGGGTCCATTCTGGCACTGTGTTGGTGGTGGCACTCCATTCTCCCTCTGGGAACTCACTGTGACATCTGAGCCAGAGTCGGAGGCTGGAGACAGGTCCGTGTGCTCTGGGTGAGCAGGGGTGACACCTCCTGGGCCTGCCCTTGTGGGGACCCCTGGGTGTGAGGGAAACGGTGGTGGTCACATTCCTCCATTCTAGAGGCATGGGCTTCAGCCCCTTCTTCCCTCCGTGCCCAGGGCGGGGCCTGCTTGCGGAGCATGGGGCTCAAAGCCCAGAGCAGAGCCCACCCGTTCCTGCCCCTGGGAAGGCACTGGTGGGCAGGAGGGATGGGGAGGGGGCGTGTGCCTCACCTGCAGGGTGTCCTGAGGGCCTTTGATCTGGGGCTCGGGCTGCTGATGGATGGAGGGCGTCCTGCCCGCCCAGCGCCTCACGTCGCTGCCAGCCGCACATGCAGAGGGCCCAAGGCCACATGCCGCTCGCCGCTGGGTCCCTCAGTGCTGGGGGGAGGGGAGGAGGGAACAAAACAGAACCTTTTGGGGGAACTTCAAAGGTACACTTTAGTAAGCAAAGAAAGTTTCCAAGTTTCCCATTAATGTTTTGCCTGTGTGTGGTTTTTGGATTTAAATAAAGAGTTAGAAGAAAGAGACAGGATAAAATACAGGCAGGTCCTCGGCCGAGGCCCGGGGTGGTTCACAGACCCGGGCGGTTCCTGCCTTTGATGTCAGGCATTAATTATTAGAAGGTAGTTTTACTGGCGATCAGAACCGGGCTCTGGGAGAGGCTGGGGCTGCCCGGCGCCCCCTGGCCGTGTCTTTGAAGTTGCTCCGCCGGCCGGGAGGCCGCCCTGCAGTCCTGTGCCGTGCTGGGACGCCAGTCCCAGCAGACGCCCCCCCACAACCCGGCCTCCTGGCAGCTGGCACGAGGGCCGCCCCTGATCAAAGACTGGGTCTGCCCGCGAGGGCTGGCAGCTGCCGCCCCGCCTGCCCCTCCCGCCTTGGGGGTGAACCCTGCTTCTGGAGCCGGGGCCAGGGTTTCCTCAGCACGCCTGCTCACCCCCTGCCCTCTGTGGCAGACGGCCAGTGTGGGGCTTGTGGGGTGGGGAGGAGCTGTCCCAGGGTGCTGGGGGCAAGCCGGCAGAGGAGGCTGGGCTTGGAGCGGACCATGCACTGGGTGTAGTGAGAACACCCTGCCTGGGACCCCTGAGTGCCTGGCAGGGCAGGGGCTGCTGTCTCTGGGCAGCAGGCATCCTCAGAGGGGCCAGGGTATCCTGCCTGTGCCGTCCCTGAGGCTGGCCCAGTGACCGGGGTGTCCTGGGTCTCTGCTATGCCTCATGGGTGTCTGTGGACAACTCTCTGCTCTGAGCAGGGTCCAGGCTGTCCCGAGAGGCACGGCCCGTGGCCTGGATTGGAATGGCCACCAAACATGGCTGGCAGATGGGTGAGCGACTTTGCAGGTGGTGGACTGAATTCTAGCTGTTGAGAAGCCTGGAGACTGACAGGCGAGTGTCTCAGTGAGGAACCTGGGGAGGAGGTTCACTGCTGGGGCATCAGTGGGGTGTTGGGCTTCAGGCTGTGTGAGGCGGCTCCTGCAGGGCACAACCTCACTGACCCATCCTGGCCTAGATTCCCCTCCCTGTTGGGCCCAAGATCCCCTGGTTGCTCCAGGAACTCAGGTCAGGGACCCTGTCACCCTTCCTAGGGTCCCTGAGGAGAA